TAAGTTTTATTTTAAGTATTAAATTTATAGATTAATAGAAAATAAATACTTTTAGTATTAAATTTATTCTTCATTAATATGCATATACAAAATAACGATTAAAATGATTAAATTATTATTATATTTTATTTTATTTAAATAATATTAAATGGCTATTTTTATACAATTCCTTATTATTTTTATAATTTATTTATTTAAATAATTTTGAATTTAAAAATAATTTTAAATTGATCTTTGTATACATCATTTCATCTATATTTTCAATATTTATTAAATAAGCAGTTTTAAAAAAAATCAAAAAGTCCAAATATTCATATTTTTTTAAAAAAAATCAAATAGTCAAAATATTCATAATTTTTAAAAAATAAAACAGAAAATTTTTCTATTAAGATGCAGCGACAAATTGCATAAGTATTTATTTTTTTCCTATATATTAAACTACTGTCTATTAAGCTGATTGCTAGCATATGTATATGTATTATTAATGATAATTTATATGTATACCTAATAAATGTATTAATTAAATTACTAATAATATCTATGAAAAATGTGATCACTATTTTGCTATTACTATTATCATTATTTTATTAAATATATTTATTTATTATTTATTATTATTTTATTTATAATTATTATTATCATAATTATAGTTATTATATTTATGTGCTGAAAGGATCAGGTCAAACTCAACTTGTATTTAAAACTTGAATTAGATTTATCATTATTTGATACAAGTCCTATATTCAACCTGATCTGTCAGATTATAGTTATACTTTTACTTGACTCAGATTAACTTAAATTTAATCAAATATTTGTAATTTTTAATTTTTAATCTTATTTGTTTTGTGATATTGTGTATAAAATGAATGAAGTTGAGAAAATAACACTTAAAAGAATAAATGTATTTAAAATTCCTCAAGAAGATAAAAATCAAATTGTTTTATTATAATAAAAGGTATATTAGATAATAATTAATATATTTGATTTGATTTGATTTTATTAATTTGTTAATAAATATACTATATATAGTTAAATGAAGTAGAGTATCCACATCTAATAGCAATAAAAAGTGATTATCTTTCAATTGCAGGTAAAAAAATTATTCATTTAATATATTAAATATTAGCTAATAAATGATTTTTAATTTAGCTACAAGTATTCTAGTAAAACAGATCTTTTTCAGCGGAACTGATTTGATAACAGCAAAAAAAAGCAATCTTAAATAAATACAATTTGTGCCTGTATGTATTTGAAGTCATAGTATAGTAAATAGGATTTAATGAAAATATATTTTATAATTTTATCATAAAAATTTAAATAAAACTTAATCAGAATCATTGTAAAAGTTATGCAATATATATTTACTATTGTCTAACTAATCATAAATAATTTGTCAAAAATTTTATTTGATCCAGTTTATCTGAAAATTAAACTATATCAGGTAAGATCAGGATCAGTTTATATAAATATTAACCTATGTATTTGTACAGGTTGGTTTTTATAAATGTGTTAAGTCTGAGTACATCCTCAAATCTGATCTGATTCGATCATTTTGGAACACTAATTATATAGATGATCATTTAATAATGCTAATTTTATTGCTTAAAACCTTATTATAGGTTTAATTTTTAATTTACAATATTTATGTATGCTTTCTATTTATTTATTTTTTACAATGAGGTCCTTTCGCTTGATGATCAATGGAATGGTTTTTAGCAAAGTGCCCATATTAATTTTTATTAACTACATAAATTATCATAAAATTTAACATGATATAAAAATTTAATTGGTCATTTCTTGGGTAAAATTTCGGTCTTCGAACCAATAATTGCGTTTTTTTTTTCAGTCATTTTAATAAATGCGGGTTGTAAGATAAAAAAAATATCGGTTCTATTAGTCTTTTCATTTCTAAGTAAATATAACTTAAATGTTCTATTTTTTAGTGTGTAATATTTAACAAAATGAATGAACTGATATTCATCTTTTGAATCATTTTCTAAAATTCCAGTAGATTGAATAATTTTCTAATTACTTAAGATAAACTAAAATGATTAATGTCCCTATAAATTACTTTGGACTCTCATAAAAATATACGATTTCATTAATAAAGAATTGTGAGTGAAAACCTAACGGTTGTTTCAATGTAGAAACCTTAAGTTAGTTAAATATACTGTACAAGAATTATATGGTAATATAATAGTTCGAAAATTTAATACTAATAATTTTTAACAAAGATGAAAAAAAAAAAACTAAACATTCAAAACCTTTCCTTCTAGGAAAAATAAGGGATGCTTGAAGTACATAGTCGTTGCAATAAAAAAGTTAAAAAATCAGCGTAATGTGAACTAGCCCCCAAAAATCTAACTGAAGACGTCTTATCAAATAGTAAGAGAGAAAATAAATAATTAGCTTTTTTAAAGACAGGGAATCGTTTTTTGCCAATAGACACTATTTAGATTATTTGTACCATATAATAAATGACAATTATTCCAAAAGATTTCGAACTTAAAATCTAGAAGATTTTTATTATAGGCGCTTATAATCATGGTTTAAGGCCTCCGGGAGAATATAAGATGTAATATATACAAACTCAATAGAGTATTTAAATTTTTTTAATCTCGGTGTGCAATACAAATAAAAAAAACTTTTCACACTTGATCTGTCAAATAAACAAAAATTTTTTATCTATTTTTATTGGCACAATAAATGCGGCTGTAAGTAAACTGTCACAGTCGAAAGTTCTTCAATCTTTTATTTTTATCAATAAAATCGAAAACTAATAAAAAACTTATTAAATCAAAAGGCGAAAAATAAAACATTCGATCACGATAATCCTTACCGAAAGAGGATCCTAACGCTGATTGTTTATTGGTTTCGTCTGAAATTGGAATTTCAATTTCAGACACAGACGAAAATCAATTTCTGTCACAGCACCATAATCAAATTAATGAGTCTGTCAGTAATTCTAATGATCTTAATCTTAATGAAATAAATTCTTGTTCGTGATACAAAAACTTAGCATTTCGGGAATATTGCACAGGTTTTATTTATTACACACTGTTTAATTCGAGTTTCACTAGAGTTTGAAGCTGCAATAAAAGACTTTTCTTATTCAGATTTACAATCTATTAAAATAAAATTTCATGTAAAATTAAAGTTTAATTATCTTTTCAGAACCTGTTGCAGCTTTGGTAGATGACATATTTGATTTAATTTCATTTTCGAAAAAGGTACAAAATAGAATTTGAAATTCCGGCTTTCCATTTAATTTCACACCGGACTGTTTGTTAACTTTCTCCGCGTCCCAACTAGGTTCACAGAATAACTGTTAGGAATTGGATACTTTGTAAGAGAAAAGTATGACAAAGTTCAGAAGCATGTGGATAAAATCCTTTAGCTATGCTAAATAGTTAAATTATCTTGTGCAATAATTTTTTTTCTTTATAAGTAATGAAAGGATATTTGGATAATCGCCTCATAATTTCAGTTTCAGTCATATTGAGAACAAATGAAAGGTTGTGCTTGAAACTTCAATATTTTAAAATTAAAAAATATTCTCCATTTAATTATAAAAATTGTTGTAGGATAGTGATTATAGCTAATATGGAGATAATTTAATAATAATAAAAATCCGTTCCATAAAAATGGGTGCTTATAAAGAAGTGTGACTGTATAGGGTGTGACTGTATAGAGGAGGTCCGACTGTACTCACAATAATTTTCCGTGTTACATAATCCTCCAAAGTATCGATCTATACACCTATCAACTGAGACGAAAGTAGGAAATTCGTCGCGATGACATGAATGTTATAATTTCTCGCATAATAATCGTAGCAAGATATTTCTTTCTCAAAATTTCATATGGAAGTTCTGTGTTAAATTTGACAAATCTCGTTAATCTAATGGTCGATTGTGCTTTCTGATTGAATTTCAGGAATAATGATTCATGAGGAAATATTCTAACAAAAAATGACAGTTGATCATGAAATGAATAATAATTTGCAACTCAAACTAATTTCCATGCGAAGCAGGAATATCAATTGACCGGATTTCCTTGATGAGTCATAAAGAGTGGTTCCAATGGATAATGAATTCAATTCTTGGATAGGTAAAGGTAATTGAAGTTAGTATTTGATTCAATTTCACACTTACTTTTAATGTTGTACTCATGGATATACTTCAAGGACTTTTATTTAGTCTAGACGGTTGAGTCAACTGGATTCCACTTCGACATCGCCGGATTTTAATTGGAATATGAGGCAGATACGATAATGTTTAAGTGTCTAGCCTCATTTTTTTCGAAACTTCCCGCATATATCTGCCAGCTCATATGTTATTGAAAGTAATTTCTCAGGAGTATCTGTTGATCCAATATTTTTTCGTGCGATTTTAAGACCGCGATTATCAAGGAGAAAGGCTAGATGTATTGCAATAATAACAAGCAAAAAAATTATTTTCTCAATAGCGAGATAAAATACCCATTATTGCTACTATGAAAAATACTTGCCGGGATCGATCGCGCTAAAGAATTGTGTAACGGAACATTTCTCCTAACTAGAGTTTGGAACTGACCTAAATAATCTTATCCGGTTAATATTAGGCAAGCAGAACTGGCGAAATTTTTGTAATCACAAAAATACAATTTCTGCCCGAAAATTAAATTTCGGCCAAAGTTAAAGAAATTCTTTAACAATTTAGCAATGTAATTAACTGGTTCTCCATTAAATATTTTTTTTATTATCCCTTAAGTTGAGTTTGATTATTGTTTAAATATGCAAATATTCGATTATAATAATAAACTAACAACCCAATAAAAAAATGCTTATATTGGTTCAAATTTGTTTTCATATAAAGAAATTATCTAATCAAGATGGTTTTTATAAAAAATAAATATATGACAATTTAGTTTGCAAATAAAGATTCATAAAATATTACAATACTATTTCTAATAAAAAGTCCAAAATATCCAATAAAAGATGAGATATTCTTAGTGCGTTAGACCTAGATTTTAACATAAGCGGATGTGCGTTTTAACATTTCATATGCTTGGATACAAGATATATAATTTCCCGAAGAATTATTAAGTAACGCCTGAGAAAGGACATAAGCTTCAATTGCATTATTGGTTCCGTATCCAAGTACAGGGTGAGCATCTCCTAATAATGTTACTCGGCTACTTTTCGAAGAATTAACAGACGATGGTTCAATATCTCGCAATTTCTTCGTTTAACTGGATAACGAATATTTGCTTGATCATTTGGATCAGTCAGAGGAACCAAGTCCCATCCCATAATTCTAATAAAACATTATTCATTTCGTAATCTGGCCTAAATTTTCGAAATACATGTTTTATTACTGATGTAGGACGACCTTATTTCCATCTGATTCTTTGATATCAATTTCGGAGGTATATGCGTAAGAAATATTTACTCTGTAGTGAGGCTCATTGAAATCATACTTGTTCTTGTAATTTGGATCTTGTTCAATTGTAATCAATCGAAATACATTAAAGACCAATCACCGTGCATTTCAAGGGATTTTTAAAAATATACCGTCTCTATGAGTTTTTCATTAACCCGTCAAACAAGATTTTTTTTTCACGGAATTTCCGAGGTAATTAATCGAATATTTCCGGTACCTTTTGCTTTTGAATTACAACAAAATTATAAAAAAAGAAAAGACGTAAATTAAAAATATTTCAGAAAATAAAAAAATTTATTATCAGGTTAAATACCCAGCGGAGAATTAATTCTATTTGCTATCGCTTGACTCTCGTGAACCATTTTCAAAATCGCCCAAACTTCATTTTCGGTTTCTTCAAATCCAATGCATTTTT